TGTAGCACATGTGCTGTGTCTCATCTGCTAAGAGGGATACATAGGGTTATTAGCATTTTCACAAATCCAAGAAAGAAGAGAAGTTACCCAGTGTCACCTGACCAGTGTTGAGTTGGTGCCTTTAATTAGAGACATGACTCCAGATATAAAGGCAGTGGTGAAGTTTCCACCCTGAATCCCCAGCTGTGAAGGGTCTTTATTGCCTTCTTCTGCTTATTCCACTGAATGATAACATTAGTTAAGCCAAAGACATGTGTTACAAAGGAAGAAATGAAGAGATGGGTTAGAGGTGAGGTTAAGGAAATGCTGTCTTTGTCCATTGGGGTGCAGCTCTAACTGGCTAATGTTTTGGTATGCTTAGCTTCATTGGCAATGTCGCTTCATATGAGAATACTCCTTCCAAAGGGGCATGCCGGGCTTTACTGCCTTTGTTCACAGCACAGAGGAATGAAAAAGCCTTTTGTTCCTAGACTGGAGTTTTAGTGCCAGTCTTTTGCTTTTCTTCCCTCCTACCTAAGCCCTAACCCTGTCCTTCAAACCTCCCCCCATATCTGCAGCTAACTCAAACCTCACCCTTTCTCAACCATCCTCAGCACTTATAGTCTGTTCTGTATACAAGTCACTCCATATGTTCAGCTTTATAATCAATAGTGTTCAGTTTGGACCATCCTGTCCTCAAAACCTCCCCGTCAGAGTTCTTACTGCTTGAGATAGGTAGATAACACTCTTAAAAACTACACTGCACATAATACCCTCTAGATCCATCCATGTTGTTGCAAAAAACAAATACCATATGATTTCACTTATTTATGGAATATAAAAACAAAGCAAAACAGAAGGAAGAAAACAGTATTAGACTTACAGACACTGAGAAGTGACTAGTGGTTACCAAGGGGAAGTGGGTGGGAGACTGTTGAACCACTGTGATGTACATTTGGTAGTAATAATAATACATAGGAAAACAAAGAAAATCAGTTATGCTACAAAACAGTTATCAAACATTAAAATAATTTTTGATATAGTAAAAAAAATCCTACACTGCATGGGCACATGGAGAATGACTTTAAGTAAAAATACAATTCTTTTTTGTCACTATGATGCAAATAATCATACAATCTAGATAGGCAGATCAAAACTGTTAGAGTATACTGATTTATTTCTGGGGATTTTTCTTTGTTACTTTTTTCCTCCTTTCTCTATTCCTTTTGGAGAGGGGTGATAATAAGACAAATAATTATAAAAATGCAATTTAGCATTTCAGCTTGGCTGGTTTTAAGACCTACCTACCCTGAGCCACCTCACTCTATCCTGGCTAAGCTGTATGTTTCCTCCCCTAAAATACTGATCATAGGAACATGGATTCAGTAATGCAATCTCAAAGCTTGAAAAACAAAAATACGACAAATAAAAAATAGGAAACAAATTCAATTCTCTGCAGTCCATGGGAAAAATATAATTTCTACCATGAGTTTGTGTTTTTGCCTGAGTTTCTAGGTTGTATGAGTCCTTGCAGACAATGTGCCACTTTCCTCTTCTCTCCAGAAGCTGCAGGTGGATGAAGGAGAAAGATAAAGGACGTGACTCCTAGCCTTCAAATGCTCATGGCTGCACACAACCTGGGATGCGTGGTTTTTTCTCCCTGGTACCTAGATTATCTTGATAAGTGTCCTTTCCCAATTGGAAAAAGAAAATCTAATATTTCTGAGAAGATAAGTAACAGAGATGTCCAAAAGCAGTTAAGGGAATCTTAAACCTGGCACTTTCAGTAAATTTGGCTCCATCCTGAAGGCTGAGCATATCCCCAGAGGATGACAGATATGGTTATCTTTGCCTCCTGTTACACATAGGGGTCTTAGGTGCATTAGGTAGACTCTGCAAAGGGTGGCCAGCAACTGCTACTCAGAGGAACATACTGTTTTGCTGGGTTATGGGGTGAGGGTTAGGCAGGGGTCTTCACTTAACACAGACGGGGGCATGCTGTACAGGCTGCCACATAAGATAATGCTTTTGGGAACTGGGTGAATCCCAGCTCCTCCACCTGCTAATAAATATGCTGCCGGGAGAAGTTGTTTAAATCCACTAAGCTTCAGTGTCCTCATCTGAGAAAATGGAGACTGTTCTCAATATTAAATGAAACAAGGTATGTCCAGTGCTTAGTAAGTATCTGGCATAGAGTAGGACTTGAAATGATAGCAGTTATGTCCTCAGCACCACAACACTTAAGTCTATGCTCAAATTTCCTGTGTTCTCAAACAGAGAATTCATTGACCACCCATAACCAGGAGTGAATCCAGCCTGTCAGCCACACCATTGACAAAGAGGGTCTTTTTCTCTCTCCTCCTTAATTTTCTAAGCCAGAACCATCTAAGGGAATCGGTTACATTCTCTTTGGAAGTGGTTTGGGCTGGAAAATCTTAATCTTGATTTCTTATCTCTTTGCCACTACCCACCCCCCAATCCTCCCACTGGATATTTAGAACTTCTTGTAAACTTCACAGGATTGAGATGTATTGAGATCTGTAGGAGGTGTTGGAGGAAAAGGAGGGACTGGGATGTTAAAAATCAGGGCAACAAAAATACCTATGATGTCATTTACCCTGACTTCTGACTTTACCCTGCCAGCAGCAGCCTTTCAACTTGTCTGGTGTGACACCTCACCTCTGCCCGCCTGTGTTATCACTTAACCCCCGATGTAGGCCTCAGACGGTCTTCCATTAGAACAACTGCCACTCCTTCCCACTCCCCACAGACGTCTCTCTCCCTCCGTCTCTGACTTTTAGTGTAGTCAATTAAACCTGAACAACTGGTGGATGGAGGAAATATACTGCATCTATGGAATGGTACAGCAGGGACCAGTTTCACTGTTAATTTAAAATGCTAGAATTAATTAGGTAGTGTAAATGAAGAATTTAATAAGCACTCTTTACAACCACAAGTTCTACTTTTATTAAACACTGCTACCAAATGAGAGCAAGTATCTCTTGTCTCTCTCTCTCTATTTCCTTGCCTCCTTCCCGTAGGTTCTTTGCAAGTAAATCTCTTATTTTTGCCAGAATGAAGAAAACATTCATAATTATAAATTTATGCCTGAATTGTATTTCTGCTTTCAACCCATAAGCTTTTTCTTTAAGCTCAGATGCTCCTGTATGTCTCTGCTTGTGCTGGAGGGGGTGCTGAACAAACCAAAGTTGACAATTTTGGTTTTGTATACCAAATTAAAGGCTGTCTTAGAAGCTGTCACTCCTATTCAAATCGACTCGGTGAACTACCAAATTAGCATTCTTTCAGTAAAGGAATCTGCTTGTTTAAACATGTGTCTTTAGAAAACAAGGAACAACACCATGAATCAGTACTTTTCAAAAATCTCACTGTGGTTCTAAGGGGGAACTCTTTTGAAAAGGTGATTAATAATATTCACTAATATAGCTGGCAGAGTCCCTATTTAGAAGGTAAGGCTACACCAAAAATACATTTTCTATACAGAAGTGGGAGGAAGAATCATATGGTTAACTGGTTTTAATTTTGTTTGAATTATCATCTTATTATATAAAGATTATTCAGGAATCTAAACATTGGCTTTCTGAGAGCACAGGCAATTGTGTTGGGGGATGGATGAGCCAGTACTCTGGGATAAGACTGTCAAAGCTCTGGCCCTATGTGGAGACCTTGATACTATTTCTCTGTTTGAGCCAGCCCCCTTGAAATGTATTAACTGTATCTATAATAATCACATTTCCCATTTATTGAGAGATCACCATGCAAAAGGCATTGTGCTGAACAGTATGTGTTGAGTTTCTCATTTAATCCTCACAATAAACCCTCTGAGATAAGTATTGTTTTCCAATTTTACCAATGAGGAAATTATATTTGGAGGGCTATGTGACTTATATTTTTGACAGTTATTTTAGCTTTATGATTTTGCAAAGTATTTAATTTATATGGGGACAGATTTACAAGTGAATCAGAAGAACTAGAGGATATGTATAGCTACAAGCACACGTACACACTGGATTCTCTGATTTGAAATCACGGTGCAGTACCTCCCTGTATTAATTATAGTTTCCTTTTAAAAAAATATATAGTCCAATTGCTCAAAAGTTAAACTGTCCAGAGTAAGGGAAACAAAAGTCAAACTCAAAAAGTACAAATACTCAAAGTTGAGTGTGAAGGATTTGAGGGCTGGAGCATCAGGGAGCAGGAGCTTCACTGTCATGATGTAGCCCAATATTTTTCTGAGAAAATAGTCTCACTTGCAAAAAGATTACAGAGAAATTTCCCCCCAGAATTACAGCATCAGTGCTAAGCAAACCAACATTAGGTTCTCAGTGAACAGTTGCTGATTGGAAAGACTCAGAACCTAAAACCTTCAGTATTGAAGTGGTAGAGGGTATTGTTTCCCTTTCAAGTAAAAAGTCTCTGACTTCCCAAGAGTAGCTGCAAGACAAATTAATAAAATAAAATACCTCGAATGCAGATTGTCATTAAGCATCTCCCTCCTACTGCAGAGCAGTTTTATTCTGAATAATCTGCTGTCCTCAAGGCCTGTTTCTCCCCCGGGACAATGGGCAGTGGTGACCTCCTTCCACAGTCTGTGAGAGCACCTTTAAAACACTATCTCAAACACATGGAAGAATGCTGGACACACACAAACCATGTGTTTGAGAGGAAAGGAGCAAATAGATAAAAACTAGCCCAGAGTTTAGGGAGGGCAGAGGGCAGAACAAAGCACTCTAGAACAAAGGGAAGGGGTAGCTGATTGAGAATAAACAGGGATAAAACCAAAGGATTATTTCACATAAAGTAAATCTCCATTTACTTCCCAGTCCTACCAGTCCACAACAAGGTTTTGTGTAAGGTGTACAGCTGTATGAGTTTATGACCGTGTACCCACGCCATCCTTGAACACAGGATGCAGACACTCAGATGCAGCACCATGCATATGGATTATACTAAGGCCTGCACATTTAACAGGACAATGTAGCTGTGGAAGAAGAGCATACCTGTAATTTTGTCTCTCACGAGTTTGCAGGATTCTATTTCACCAATGCTCCCAAAGAGACTCCTGAATTCCTCTTGGGTCATGTTCTGGGGTAAATAGTTGACTATGAGGTTGGTTTTGCTGTCATCTGTGGCTGCCCCTGTCTGCATGGGAGAAGGACAATTTCTATTGTTGCTGGAGGGTCCATTGCTTGTATTGGATGTCGGGCCATTTGACACCTGAGGCTCCATGGTGCTAATTATCTAAATAAAAATAAAAATAATAAAAAGAAGGCTTTTGAAATCTCAAAGACACAATTAAAGTCTCTTTTAAGATTTTCTTTTCTTTTTTGAAAAAAAAAAGAGAACAAGATAAAGCAAGATGGAGGAAAGGAGATGGGGTTGTGAACACAGCCAATTTAGAAGCATGTTTTTAACCAAAATGTTAAACTCCCCTTGCTATTTTTAGGCCAGCCCATAGATTCTGAACACAGACTAGAATGCAGTGGGAACTCTCCCATTATTTTGTTAATGAAAAGCTAATTCCTGTTTTCATTACACAATCACTCTCAGAAATGTATACTTAAGCCACACCAAATTATAATTAAAATGTAAAGTAATAATCATGATTAAAATTATAGTTCCATTAAAGCTGAAAAACTAAATATAGAGGGCTACACGCACAAGATCAAATACAGTACCTGTTTATTAACTATCTCATAAAGTAAAATGACATTAAATTAAGTGGGGCCATTCCATATGGGAAGGGTTTAGATTTTCAGGGATGCTTAATCACTGATCAAACTTCAGACTTCATAAGCACATGCTGGGGAGCTACAAAGTCACTTGTGATTTTTCTCCCTAGCCATTCCATTACTATTACTCCTGAACCTCTAATAAAATTAAAAAACATGAAGGAAAAGTTCTCTTTAGTTCTCTACCTTAGGTCCAGCACAGCCCAAGGCTGTCTTCTCACACATTAGTCAAAAAGGACTTTCTCTGGATTTTTCCTCTGGGCATGTGAACTGTTCCAGGCAGCATGCATGGGAATAAAACAATGGGTAATTCTTGGTCTCTAACCTCAAGGAGCTCATAGTCTATAGTGGATATAGGCAGGCAAACGGCTCACAGCAGCACACTGGGCATACAGTGCAGGAGCAATTAACCCTGCTTATAGGATAGGGGTGTTTGGGAAAAGTACTGAGACGATGATGCCAGAATATGGTTTTACATGGAAAATGGGTTTAAGCTCATGGAGCCAGGTCATAAAGATCCTTTGTGCATGGTACGACAAACATGGAGAATCACAATTGTACAGTCAGAGGCACTTTAGGGAATGAGATCTAGTGCAAAACTCTCATATTTGAGATTAATTCCAGAGATACCCAGCAACTTCTCTGTCATCCCAGGAAATTGGGGCAGAGTCTGGGCTTGCACCCAGTTTTCCTGCCCCAAATACGGCCCAATCAGTCTCACTTTTCCTTTCTGTCCTGTCATCATCTCTTACTTGTCCTTCATGATATGGCTTCCATCTCCTCTGAAACTGATTATCATCTCCTTGGAAACAAATGGTGTTCTGCCATTAACTAGCTGTGTGACTGTGGGTAAGGCACTTAAAACTCTGGAAGCCTTAGTTTTCCTCATTTGAAAAAAGGAAACAATGCCACCTGCTTTTCAAGGAAACTGATCTGGTGACGTGGTCTATATAAAACACCTGAATAGTGGTAGGAACATAACTACAATCATTGGTAGTTACTAAAGTCACTTTGCCAATCACCTGATGTGACCTCTCTCACTGACTCCTCACCAGAAGGCAATGAGGTATATTCCAATATTCTCTATATCCTATAGATGAGTAAAACAAGACCTGGCAGACATCTGATAATTAGCACCTTCTATTATTATTACCATTTGACTGTTCTGAAAATTTGGGAGAGATAAGCATTTTTACGTATGTGTTGCAAAGTGTACAAATTTTAAGGGTACAAGTCAAAGAATGTTTACAAAGTGAACACAACTCACACCTGGGTAACCACCTTTCAGATCACTGTCTGGAACATGACAAGCATCCCAGAAGCCTTTCTCATGTCCCCATCCCCATCATTCACACAAAGTGCACAAATTTTTTTTATTTTGTTATCATTAATCTACAATTACATGAAGAACATTATGTTTACTAGGGTCCCCCCTTCACCAAGTAACCCCCACAAACCCCAATACAGTCACTTTCCATCAGCGTAGTAAGATGTTGTATAATCACTACTTGTCTTCTCTGTGTTGCACAGCCCTCCCCATTCCTCCCCCCTGACATTATACATGCTAATTGTAAGGCCCCCTTTCTTCTTCCCTTCCCTCCCATTCTCCCCAGTCCCTTTCCCTTTGGTAGCTGTTAGTCCCTTCTTGGGTTCTGTAATTCTGCTGCTGTTTTGTTCCTTCAGTTTTTCTTTGTTCTTATACTCCACATATAAGTGAAATCATTTGGTATTTGTCTTTCTCTGCTTGGTTTATTTCACTGAGCATAATACCCTCTAGCTCCATCCACATTGTTGCAAATGGCAGGATTTGTTTTCTTCTTATGGCTGAATAATATTCCATTGTGTATATGTACCACATCTTCTTTATCCATTTGTCTACTGATGGACACTTAGGTTGCTTCCATTTCTTGGCTATTGTAAATAGTGCTGCGATAAACATAGGGGTGCATCTGTCTTTTTCAAAGTGGGCTGCTGCATTCTTAGGGTAAATTCCTAGAAGTGGAATTCCGGGTCAAATGGTATTTCTATTTTGAGCATTTTGAGGAACCTCCATACTGCTTTCCACAATGGTTGAACTAATTTACATTCCCACCAGCAGTGCAGGAGGGTTCCCCTTTCTCCACAACCTCACCTACATTTGTTGTTGTTTGTCTTTTGGATGGTAGCCATCCTTACTGGTGTGAGGTGATATCTCATTGTGGTTTTAATTTGCATTTCTCTGATAACTAGCGATGTGGAGCATCTTTTCATGTGGCTGTTTGCCATCTGAATTTCTTCTTTGGAGAACTGTGTGCTCATCTCCTCTGCCCATTTTTTAATTGGATTATAAACTGTACAAATTTTAAGGGTACAAGTAAAATAATGTTTACAAAGTGAACACAACTCACACCTGGGCAATCACCTTTCAGATCACCATCCAGAATGTGACAAGCATCCCAGAAGCCTTTCTCATGTCCCCACCACCATCATTCACACCAGCCCCCTAAGGTAACTACTCTTCTGACTTCTTATCCATAGATTTGTTTCTTCTGTTTCTAGACATGAAATCACACAATACGTACTCTCTTATGTCTTTTCATACATTATGTCTGGTATCATCCATGTTGTTAGATATTGCAAAAGGTTGTTCTTCTCTGCTGTAAAGAGTTCCATTATTTGAAAATACCACATTTTATTTATCTCTCCTACTGTTGATGAACATATGGGTTGTTCTAGTTTTTAGCTGTTATAGATAATGATGCTGTGAGCATTATGTACATGTCTTTTGGCATACACACACACATTTTTGCGGTGATATTCCTGGGAGTCCCTTATTTTTTGGTCACAGAGTACATGTATGTTCAACTTTAGTATATATACTGTCAGTAGTTTTCCTGAGTGGTTTTACCAATTTACTTTCCCACTAGAAGAGCCTGAGAGTTCCAGTAGCTTACACATCCTCATCAACATTCAGAGACCATTTTTGTTTTGTTTCAGTTTTTATTTTCTCATCTGAAACAGAGTGGTATAGTCAAAAAGGAATGACTTATTAGTCAAGGCAACAGCTGATGTAAAATTCTAGTTCTACTGCTTATTAGCTGCAAGATCTCAGGCAGGTTACTTCAATACTCTGGGCATCAATTTCTTCTTAGTAAATTGGAATAAAGCCTATTGTGTGGTGTTATCTTCAGAATTAGAGAATATATATATTTATTAAGTGCCTAGAGGTTTCCTGTTATTTCTCATTGTGCCCTACATAGGTGTTATTCTAATTGTTTCCTCTTCCGATGATCACAAATGGGAAACGAAACTGAAGAAAAAACGAAGATTCAAGAGGAGTCAGGGAAATAAAGCAGATTGAAGAATGTGGGGATCTTCTAAAATTCTTTACCATCATGTAAGTAACTTTAGTGGTTCCACTTATCACATCACCAGAATGTTCTTCTTGGCTTCAGGTCAACTGCAGGATTCCAGACAGAAAGAAGAAAGCAAAGAGTTTCTGAGAAGAATCTGAAATCAACCTTTCCTGAGCACAGGTAGAAGCACCCAGCAGAGCCTATTTAGCTGCTCTGCCCTTAAGGCAGGAGAAAATGGCGAGATGTGCCCCAGAGAGGGGGTTGTGCTAATGGAGATGATGTTGTGGAGTATCATCATAACGCCCGGCTGGGAGGCTGGTTCCCGCTCTGCCAAGCCGTCGTGCCTTCTGGGTTCGTGCAGTGTCTCCGTTTCCTGTGTCGTCTCACTGCTTCACTGAGTTAAGTGTCCGAGCAATTAACACAAGGAGTACAAGAAGTACCACCAAATCCAAGATAAGGAATGTGAAAAACACAATTTATCCATTTCAGGAGGCTCAGCTGGCAGAACCACAGAGATGCCCAACTACCATGTTTCGATTTAATGAACCAGTTGTACATATAGATAAAGTCGTATCTATAGAACACCTTCCCTGCTGCCCACTTTTCTCAGCTTACCCTTGTTCAGCTTCCCAACAATCACCTAGAAATATCCTGAGTGGAGGTAGCTTTTGGGGTATTAATGATGGAGCATGAAGAAGAATATAGTCATACCAAAGCATTCTGAGATTCTGTGGGACAAGAACTGTTAATGATCACCAGACAGCGAGGTTCATCTTCTGTCGTGTGGATGTTCTCTTCACAGACAGACATGATACAAGCCAGCACCTGTCCATGTCAACATACTACAGGTCTCCCTGCTCCAGAAAGACCCAGGAAGTATTAAGTCTGCAAGAAAGTAATTTCAGTTCTCCAAAAAGCTTTCTGGGTCTCCTTACAGCCTATGTGGATTTCCTAACGTATATTGACTGCTGGAGTTGAGGCCCATCTGTAGACCAGACAACCCTAATTGGGTTCAAACCTTCAAAGAGGAGTCGTGAGAGGTAATGTTTGGTACTGATTACTTCAATTGACCAAACCTATAAATTAGGTAAAATTATTCTCATCTGATGGAGACAAAGCTCTCTGCTCTGCACACACACTATAGTTATCCTTCCGTGAATTCAGAGAGGATTGC